GTTAACAAACCTGATGTACGGGACTGAAATTTATTTGTCTGTTGCTCGGCAAAAGTGGCAAAGTTTGTTAGGAATATGGTCAAAAAGTAGTGGATTCTCATATTTGGTCTCAAAATCCGAGGTAGAAAGAGAGTGGAAAAAAACAAATAGAAAGGGAATAATAAAAAGCAGTTTTAATTTCACAAAGCCCGAGTCCAACAGTGTCAAATTAAATGGGGCTTTCCACCACACCCACCACACGAGCGGTTCTCGATTTGCATGCACACACACAGTTAGTTTTAGAGAGAGAAAGAGAGAGGAAGACGTTAGTTTTAGAAAGAGAAACAAACTCCTCTCAATTTCTTGGCAGTTTCATACTCACATTTCCTTACAAGTTTAATTTGTTTTTTTATTTTTTATTTTTTTGTTTTGAGAGACGACAAAAGGCAGTGAGGGAATCGTGTGCTGTTTGATAATCTCTCTCTTCATTGGCTTTTCTGTTTTTCTTCTCTCTCATTGTAATTCCCATCTTTCCTTTACTTCCTCCTTTTAAATTACTTCCTAGTAATTCCCTCATTTTGTTATTTTTGTACAAAAAAAAAAAATAATAAATAAATAAAAAATTGGGCATTTAGCAACAATGAAGTTGCAAAAACTCTGTAATGGGGGTGATACTGCGGATCTGCCAAATGGGTTTCATGAAATGACGATTTTAGCCCCACACAAGAATCTCAGACTCTGTCTCGACGGTAGTTCAGAGGGGCAAATAAGGTATTTTCACGCAGTGGAAGGTGAGGAAAGCAAAAACGGTGAGCCCACAAAGCTTTGTTGCAGGGGACATTGGAAGCCTCATGAAGATGCCAAACTCAAAGAGCTTGTTGCCCAATTTGGCCCTCATAATTGGAATCTCATTGCTGATAAACTTCAAGGCAGATCAGGTCTTTCATATTTACCAAAAATATATATATATATATATATATAATATATATGTCTTTTGAAAATATTCCTTCATTTTGAGATATTTATTTTCCTTGTTTTGTTTTTTGTTGCTAGGGAAAAGTTGCAGACTGAGATGGTTTAACCAGTTAGATCCAAGGATCAACAAAAGGGCATTCAGTGAAGAAGAAGAAGAAAGGCTTTTGGCAGCCCACGAAATGTACGGAAACAAATGGGCTTTAATCGCCAGGCTTTTCCCGGGCCGGACGGATAATTCTGTCAAGAATCACTGGCATGTGATTATGGCAAGAAAACACAGAGAAGGCAATTTCGTGTACAGGAAAAGAAAGCCTTATTCTCTGCTACATGCGCAATACAGGGGATTAGTCAGTACCTTGATGATGAATAATAGTAATGTTAATATTAGTGTTGAGGAATTATCCGGTGCTTCGACCCCCACCGATCTTAGCCTGAGCCTGCACTCAGTGAAGCCCCAAAATTTCGTCTCTTTTCATCAGGAGAATATTAGCTTGGATTGTGGTGCTGGTGAGTTGATTAATCTGTCGTCATTCAAAACACGACTCTCTCTCTCTCTCTCTCTCTCTCTCTCTCTCTCTTTGAAAACATATGTTGCTTCTTTACTTCATCATTGTTAAAGGTTCTTGATAGTATGATCTTGTAAAACTATATATTGATATCACTGAAACATGCATGTCACTATAGAATGTGATATATGGCAAAAATTTAATTTTGGTCTGTTTATTTGTCTAAAGTCCTTTTTTGGTACACTAACTTTCCTATATAACTATATAACGTACTGTTTTTTACGAGTAATGTCCAAAAAATGATAGAAATTGCAACATAACTTACCATTCTTGATAAGGAGAATGTTAGTGTACCAAAAATGGACTTTAAACAAATAAACGGACCAAAATTGAAAATTTTTCGAATGTGGATGATGATAATTGGGCTAAGAATGAAAAATACGCAATGTACTTTCGAACTATAGAAACTCAATTCAAGGTGTTCAATTCAGATTTTTTGTTCTATAATATTTGTTTATCAAATGCAGGCATGGTAGGGGAGCTGGCTACTGGGAACAAAGAAAACAAAATTAATAAAGAGAGTTATGAATCAGTTAACTCAGATTCAAATTCTGAAGTGCTCTCAGCATCTGAATCAGTAGCCAACAACAGGGCCACCAATCTTTGCATTTGTGGGGAAAATCAAAGTGACAATAAAAATGTGGGATTCATTGATTTCCTTGGGGTGGGGTCCATTTGAGATTTCATCAGTGTCTTTTTGGACAGTAGGGGCAAAACAGTCTTTTTGTTTTTCTGTTCTTTTTTCTCCGGGAACCTCAAAATTAGCAAAATAAGTTGAGAGGTGTTTTGTTCATTGAAAGTGCTGAGAATGGGTTTGGCAATTATTGCATTCTATCAGTAGATGCAGGAAAAAGAAGTTGATTTTCGCAGATAAGATGCCCCCTTCATTTTGCATGTAGAGTCCAATGAATCATGAGTGGAATTATGTATTGAATAATTAGGAATTCATATCTTGCATAGTATATTTGTTGTCAAATCTTGCTAAATTGTATATCTATTTCCTTACAATAAATATTTTTCTTACATAGTTTACCATTTTCTATTTCTTCAATTTTAATTTTTTTCTTATTATAAATTTTTTATACTATGTTATTAGATGGATAGTGTAAAGTCACATATAAATAGAAATAAAAAAAATCACTTGTATACATAGAAACATATAATTAACATGCCTACGAGATTTTTTTGTCTTGACTTTCGTAAGGTATAATTTTATTTTTATTCCACTATATTGAGTCTCTTTCAAGCAAAGATCCATCTTTTATAATATATCAAACTCAGTACATTAAATTAAATAATTCATCAATAAGGTACATTAATCATTATTGGAGGATAAATGACGGATTATTTAAAGCTCATCGCGAGCTGATCACAAGCTGAAAATATAGTTTGTGCATATAACATTGGACACACAATTGACATAAACGAACTCTAATTGATCTGAAAATTTGGGTATATGACCGTCTCGACGAGAAGAATTCAACGATTGATCAAATACTTGAATTTGGCGTAAGACGACACAAAAGTTACGCACAAAATAGAACAACTTCAATTATTTTGGACTTAAAATTAAGTAGACAAACGAAATCTAATTGAACTACAAATTTGTTGTTGCGACCGTCTTGATGATACAATAACTTTTGGCGAATATATTCTTGGATGACAAATTGTATAGATAAATAAATTCTAATTGAGATCAAATCTGATGGGTACAATTGGTTCAAAAAGAAGAATCCGATGGTGGGTCACTCACCTAAACTGAATCTTAGATGGTGTCGGAATTAAACCGGATAGAAAATAACCCAAAAATTTTCAGATAGACAATTGAGTGGGCAAATGAACTATGATTGGGCTAAAAATTTAAGGGTACGGTCGTCTTGACAAGAAAAATCGACCGATGGGTCACCATGGACATCTGACGGTGTTCCAATTAGGCCGAAAAGGGAACAACGAATTTTACTCTACCACTAATGATTAGTGTACCTTATTAAGATGAATTTTAAAAATTAGTACACTAAGTTTCTTATCTGTAAAAAAGATGGATCTTTGCGAAAATATGTCAATATAGTAGACTAAAATAAAATTATGTCACTTCTAACATCAAACTTTAGGATGATTAATTAAGAACAACAATTACGTCAATCACATTACTTAAAATAAAAATAAATATTTGAATTTGTGATTTCCTCCAAAAAATTAAATAATACACTTCATAGACTTACCTTTGTATCTATATATATTGAAAGAGAGAGATAAAAAAATCAATTGTGGAAACTTCATAAAAAATCCCAGTCAACTCATTTGACTTACTTATAATTGAAACCTTTTAAATCTTCCGCAAAAATCACTTGTGAGGATTTTTATGAAATCCGGTGAGGCAAAATCATTCCATATCTTTTTAATAAAAAGTGTTACTTTGTTTCCTTATTTCACATCTATACTTATACAAAAAGCCATCATATTTACAAGAATTAGTAGGAAGAAAAGTCAACTCATAATTAATTGCACACCATATTTAGAAAGTTTTAGATATTTTAAATCTTAAAATAGTGTAGCATTAAATGCCCCTAAAATTATGAGTTTTGTTGAATTCATTTTTGAAAATTTCGACAGATATTGAAGTGAATATGAAATTCAAAATCTCTTCTCATTTTATTTTTAATAAAAATCTGCATTCAAATTTACGTGTGGTTTTGAAGTGAAAAATTGAAATTCAAAATCTCTTTTAATTTTAGTTACAAGAAAATCGGGCTGAATGAAGGAATTTATAGATAATTGTTATCTCTACTCAATTATATGATTATTTTCAATATTAAAAGAGACATATTACAAATTAGTGAATCATATATTACCTAATTCGATATCTTAACATTAAAGGAATAAATCCATAGTATTATGTAAATCCGTATCTGATATTATTATATCATTTAGAATATATTATAGTTATATTATCAAATCATAAAAAGATATTAAATCCATATTGTAAAAAAAAATAATTCATATAATTTTATAACAATTCTACTACACTATTTAACAACATTCCTTTTTATTATATATTGAGATAATAATTAAATATTATATAGTGAACAACAATAAATAAAACTGTTACTTTCTCTTATATCAAAGGATAAATTTATATGCTAAAATTAAATTTTTATTAGTATAAATGTTTAAGTGAGATAATATATTAATTATTTTACAAGTTAGCCCTAACATGGTCATGTTCTGGCTAAAAAGACAATGCTGGTCAAAAGATGTAGAAAAAAACTTATAATAACCCTATTGTTTTTTAGACTTAACGTTGATTAAAAGAGGTAGAAAATAGATAATAACTCAATTATTGTTTAGACTTAAAAGGATAAAGGTGTGAAAATAACTCATTTAATATCTATGACCGATGCATCGCACGAGTACGTACTAGTATGGATGGTAATGGAAGAATTTTTGTTTTCTTAAATTGCGGATAAAAATCTGTTACACGTGCTTTTTAATTATGGGAGAGATTTTTGAAAATAAAAAAACTGTTCAATTTTTGTGTGGAATTTTTATTACACGTGCTTTTAATTATGGGCGAGACTTTTTGAAGAAATCTTGCATATCATATTGTTTGCAAATTTAAATTTAAATTTTAGCTTATTTGAGAGTTCCAAAATTTAAATTTATGCTTATCCAAGAGTTCAGTTATCTTTCAAAATCCGTTTGGTTTGAACTCAAAAATCAGTTCCAAATTCTTTCTAAAAATCAATTTTGAGAATATCCATTATCGATTCGGAAAGATTATTTATTTTAGAATCTCACGCAATTTGAAAACATTGTTTCAAGATATGATTCATATGAAAATATTATTTACTAAGTAGCTATATTCGATTTTATTAATCAAAAGTGCATGGAAATATGCTTTTATCAAATTGTCGTAATTAGTTACTCACTATGTAATTGATGTGCAATCCGAATTTATGTTTTTGTTTAAAATTTTTGAAAAATGATTTCAAATGAGCAGAAGTTAAAAAAGAGTTATTACGTTGCCAAAATAATATATATATATATATATATATATATATATATATATATATATATATATATTATATAGGGATTGGTTCCAATGCTTCTACTTATCTAAAGTGTGGACGTGAGACTCATTTTTAGCCACAAGATTTGGTACATCATGTGTGGCCAAGATTTACTCTTTTTTTTTATTATTATTTTAATTATTTAAATATTATTTTGACCCGTTGACTCCGGCATTAACCGTTGACTTCCGGCGTTGACCGTTGACTTCCGGCATTGATCGTTGACTTCCGGCGTTGATCATTAACTTCCGGCGTTGACTCCAACATTGACCGTTGACAACTAACCTTCCAACTAGGTTAGTTATTTGTAGTTGCTAGATTAGTTCTATGCAGTTGCTAGGTTAGTTCTATGTAGTTGCTAGGTTAGTTCTCTGTAGTTGCTAGGTTAGTAGTTGCTAGGTTATTAGTTCTCTGTAGTTGCTAGGTTAGTTCTCTGTAGTTGCTAAGTTAGTTCTGTGTAGTTGCTAGGTTAGTTCTCTGTAGTTGCTAGGTTAGTTCTCTGTAGTTGCTAAGTTAGTTCTCTGTAATTGCTAAGTTAGTAGTTGCTAGGTTAGTTCGTTGTAGTTGCTAGGTTAGTTCTCTGTAGTTGTTAAGTTAGTTCTCTGTAATTGGTAAGAGCTGTCCGCATTTTAAGAGCTGGGCGCATTTGATCCGCCCCCTATATATATATTATAACTGTGTAATAAAAAGCCTATTCAAATGTTCGAAGGTAGTATTTCATACTTTTTATTGATCATCATATATATCAAAGCTTCACAAAATTGTTCAATAATATATAATTTTGTACCTTCTTTGCGGCCCATTTATTTTTATTATATATATATATATATATATAAATTATATTAATTTTAATATTTTACACATTAAACATTTCAAGAAAATATATCATCTTGTGCATCGCACGGGCTACGCGCTAGTATTTGGATAAGAGACAAGGAGCATCTTATAAAATTATCAGGAGATAGAACTGCTAATACTCAGCTATTATTATGCAGCAAAGTTAACTTTGCTGCATAATAGATTCTTTCATTTCATATTGTATTCTTTCATCAATATCTTTTTAGAATTGTTTGTGTTATTTTGAATAATTAACCATAATAGATTCTTTCATCTCATATCTTTCAATCTAAAATTATCAGGAGATAGAAATAAACAACGTTGTATTTTGATCTTTCATCTCATATTTTAATGAAAATACATTCTACATATGTATTACTAACAATATTGAATATTAAAAATAAACGAACAATATTGGTAGAACATAACGAGGAGTAGAAAAGGAAGACTTAAATCTAAAAGGTTATTTTGAGTTTTTAATGCATTGTTATTGGAGAAAAAAAAAAAAATCTAAAAGGTTATTTTAGAGAAAGCGACTAAACAAACGGACCTGCCCATATTTGATGACTTTACATATTCTGGCGTTTGTGTTTTATTTGTACACTTTGTTGACCGTGTGTACGGGAATATATGACTTTTTTTAGCAACTTTTGTTTGGGTTGTTGCATGCTTTTGTCTTTTGTCCTCGCTCGACATATTTAACTCGGGTATATAGTTAAATCTCGACTCTAGCTATATAGTTACACTAAAAATAGGGGAGACGTGTTTGATTGATGGTATAAAATTTTTTATTTTATTTTTTTAAAACCATAGATTTTATAAATAACCCACAAATTCATTGTCTAAAAAACAAACAAAATAATCGTCAAATCAAGAAGCAGCATAATTAAATCTAGTGGGAAAACTACGCATAGATAGCCTAGATATGGCCATACTAACACAAACACAACCCACAAGCTTACAAACACTTCAACAAGCGAAGAATACGAACTTCAAGGGAGAATAAAACATCGAAACAAAAATAAACACACACAGACCCTAACTAGATAAAAAATTAGATAAACTAAAATCCTCCACAATAGCCGGCAAGCT